TCTATCTTATTTTAAGAGCTGAAAGAGGCATCATCTAAAAGATCAGATTATTTCCTTGCTGAAATTCATTTATTTTACGAATATTGTGCTTCTTTAGATACGTTTTTGCTGAGTAAATCTAAATCAATTTCTTATAATATATGCTTACAGAGGCGACTGTTACTGATTTGTCCTTTGGACCAATTTGATATTTTTACCTAAAAAAATAACTTAAACTATGATTTAGAAATGACATTCAATATTAATCTTCAGCTTTACTAAGATAGGATCACAGTTGTCTGTTAGATCAGAAGTGTGTGACTTTTGCTGTATTCTTATATGCGGGTGTTAATCTTATCTTCTGTGCCCCCATGAAGGGCCCCACCCTGTCCCCCTGGTAAATTCTGTCTAGAGCCACTACTGTAATGGCCATCGTTAAAAACTGTTTCTAATGAGCTCATTTATTCTTTTTACCAAAAACTCTCCAGTCTTTGCAGCTCACCTTTCTGCAGTTTCGTCTCAAATTGCTGATCAGAAAAAAGGTAGACGGCTTAGTGTTGCTGCTGTGCTGAACATCAATACATTCTCTGCAGATGCTTCAGGTTAAGAAAGTAACAATATTTAATGAACTTACAACATGCAGCAGTTACTACCAAGCAACCTCTGTCTGGGTATTATAAAGATGTTTTGAAATGCACCTAATAATTTTTTAATCCTCTGATTAATAGTTGTGTAATGAAGTAAACAGGGCTTTTTAGCCTCTCTGCTTAGCTTGGAGAGGCATTTTACAATAACAGCTCCACAAGTTAAAGTCTGCAAATCACATAGCAAACAGGTTTAGTAATTCAAGGATTAGAGGATTCATACAGCCCAATTCCCTCAGACAGTGTGCCAGCAGAAGAGCACCTTCCAGGTACTCATGAGGTGTACGATGTTGTGGCTGTTGGATCTGCAGAAAAAGCTTATCAACAGACAAGCCAAAGTGTCGCATGAAGTGGTATTCGGTTGGATTCAAATACAGAGGGTTTAACAACATTACAAATCGGAAATAATGAGCTCCTGTAAAGCTTCTCCAGTGGTGATGTTTGCAGATTTAGTCATCATTTCCTGTCATCTGCTTCTGGAACTAAAAGAAAAAGATCTGCACAGCTGCAAAGTGAAAACGATGTTAAATAAATCTGTCAATCCCAAATTGGGCTCCATTGCATAAATATCCATGCTTCTCCACCAGCAACTAATTTATTCAACATCTTAATGTTAATGTGAACACATGTCCAAATCTCCCTGTTAGCAAATGAAAAACAAAATTGCCCAAACCTTTTTTAAGGATTTTTTAAAATATGAACAGAAATAGATACATAGACGGACAGACAGACAGACACACAGATTGACTGATAGATAGATCCACAGATAGACGTGAAAACTATGGACCTTGTTTGATGGTGCTATGTTATTTTGCTCTCATATCATGAGGTAGGCACTCGGCCAAACAACAAGACTATATTATGTTATAATTCAGGTAAATATCTATGTGATATTTAAATTTACTTCAGTTTATTTCTATAGCGCAGATTCACAACACATCATCTCAAGGCACTTTCCAATTCAACCACACTGCAAAAACAATCCAGAAATAAGTAAAAAATGGCTTAAATTAAGTATATTTAGCCCTAATTTGAGCAGGTAAATAAGATGATCTGCCAATGGAATGAGTATTTTCACTCTTAAAATAAGATAGTTAGATAATATTTACTTGAAATAAGACGATAAAATAGTTTTTTCTTATTTTAAAAGGAAATTGTCTTGTTCCATTGGCAAAGTGTCTTACTTACCTCCTCAAATCAAGGAAAAACGCACTTATTTTAAGAAAAAATAACTTATTGAGATTTCTATTTTTTGCAGTGCAGATCACACAGTCAAATTGATTTAAAGTTTTTTACCTAAGGTAAACCAGTTGATTGCATCGACTCATTGACTTGAAGGCATCAGGGAAGATACAGCCAGGCAGACGAGCTCTGAGCCAGCTCCCACATCAGGGACGAAAAGAGCACATCCAGTTAGTCACAGTCAGAGAAACAGAACTAAACTGAAAAACAAGCCGACCTCAAACATCTATAAACAAAGGTGCTGATGGCAGAAGCACAGCTGATATTTATGCCCCATGCAGGATTAGAATCCAGGTCTAGTGAGCGAAGGGCCTAATTACAAACTCAAACAGTCTATAGTGCTGTGGAAAACCACCCTTGAGGCTGATATAAAGCCAATTGCGAAACTCTTCGTCAAATCTGTTATATACCAAGGAGATTATCCGTCTCTCTGCTGTTCTGTATAGGTCTGACCCAGATATGGGGCCACTATGAGCCGCTTCCTGTACATGGATGGGATCAAACTTTTTGCCACTACAAGAGTTAGCAAAAAAAGATTAGTGTTGGATTTGTGCTGCAATCATTTTTATTTTACTATCACCAAACCTGGGAAAAACAAAAAACTGCAAATATTTATTTTTTTCTTTTAAGTGAAAGCAGGTTTGCTCCTCATTTCATCTGCATTCCTGTTGCTAAGCAATGCAAACCCATTTTTTTGCAGACACCCCAAAAAATTCAAGGTAGTGTTTAATTGCTGAATAGTTTCAGGGAAAACGTACCATTTACAGGCTACATGAGCTTGAGTGTTTTCATTTTCACAATCCATTGTTAAAAGCCGAATGCGCTGATTGAGGGAGCTAAAATGTCAAGCACAGAGGGCTGGGATTTTAGGGGTTGTCAAGCAAGGCAGCGCAATTTAAACTGAAGGGCATTCTATTCATCAAACACTCAACACAGCAGCTCCTGATCACAGAAGCGTTCAGGTCAATTTGAAGGTAATAACAAATAAATGTTTTTAAGTAGTATGTTTTCAGGCGAAAGTAGAATAGTCTGTTTACTTTGCTGTACAATTGGGGGGGAAAAACAACAGATACAAATGGGTTTTATGTTGCAGTCATAAAACACACTGTGCATCAATAAAAACTAAAGCTGGCGCTTTGTTTAAGATGCAGCTTCAACCAATCGGGTGAGAGGCATTTCTCCTCCTCTTTCTGCCTTCTATTTCATGAGTCGTGACACGTTTTTAGTGTTACAAGCTCATTTCGGAGGATATTCAATTTTGCGAGGATGCGACATGGAGTAATTTAAAACACCTGTCCACAGGAGGCCTTGCTGGAACACACAGCCCATTTCAAACACATTAACAAACAATTTATGTTTAACGGATAAAAAGTCTTGCAAAATCAAACAGAAATCTATTAGCAGCTGTGAATAAATCTAAGATTTAGTTAAACTTACCAGTGTGGGGGGTGTATATCAGTGAGATGTCAAGCATAGTAAGCATCTGGAAATGTCATATTATGCAGCAGGAACAATTCTCACAGAGAATTACTTCATAGTGAGATCACAGGCCATGATTTTATTTAATATTTCCCTGTTTTATTGTTGGTTGAGATACTTTCTGCACTTTATCTTTGAAAAACTGTAGTGTTGTGTACCCATCCATAACTGTGAACAATCTACAATTTAAGATTGTTGCAAAACTGTCACATGGTTCTAACTATGACAGATGATATAGCAATGATACTAAAGGAGTATAAAATTATGTTCAACTTTTGTGTTCATTTATTTACATTTATTAGCTTTTCTAGTGTTCCAGATGCTTCTAACAGTCTGATACTGTTGCTCTCATTTCATCAATAATGCAGACTGCTGCTAAAACTAAAAGTCATTTATTTTGAAGTTGGGTGATGAAAATACAAAAGAACATGTTAATTTCTAGCTAAATACTCACTGTTGTAAAATGGCTGCTAGATAAAATAGATAGATACAATACATTTAGCTTACAAGATCATCCACAATATTATTGCTAGTCATAATTTGTAGTACTTTCTTTTGATGTTTGTTGCATGATACTATGCAGCTTGGCATTAAATCAGTGTTTGAATCATATCCAAATTCAAATTTTTTCTGTGGGCTGTCAAGTGATTTTTTTTTTGTGCTGTGATTGACAACCTAAAAAAAAACATGGGGCTTGCATACAATGAACTATATCTGTAGCTAAGAGACCTCATCTTATATATTGAAATAGTTTTTGCGTTTGTCTTTGAAAGATATCCGCATTTACACAGTCTGTGAGATTTCAGTCTAAATCTAAAAAGGTCATAATATGTGTCCTATGCAGGTATAATGAATAGACTTATCCACAATGATTGCAGATTAGGTTTTGTTTTTATTGAATTCAAAATACAGGAAGAATATTGAAGGTTTAATTATTCAGTTTACTTAATTCCTTTAAATTCTAAGTTGGTCCTAGTGTCAAAAGATGTGGTGAACGCCTTTTTTAGGATTTTTTTTAAACAACCTCTGTCAACTGTAAAGATTACACAGTTTAAATTTGATCAGTCTTAATCAGGAAACTGCCAGTCAAGATTTAATCTTGAAATACTTCATTATTTAATTTTATGCCTTTAATGAACCCTCTTTTGGATTTAGATGCGTTTAAGCAGGGGACATTTTTCAACTCCTGATAATGGACAAAAATGCTCTTCTAATGGTTATTTGTAAACTACCCTGGAGACAGCTTTTTTCAGCTATAGGTTACCCATTAGCATAACAGGAAATCTATTTCCTTTATTACCTCACTATAAGAACCGTCAGTTAAAAAGTGTCAAGTTTAATGTAATCACCTTTATCATTTGGAGTTTCTAAAGTTAGCTTAATCCAAATAAGACAAAATCAGATATGGACATAAAATGATAAACTCCACTTAATAAGTATATAGTGTTTTAAATCATTAGATATTTCAGGCTGTTTTAGATATTAGAATCTGGAAAGTTGTGGTACAATTAAACAGGTTACCCTTTCGGAATATTTGCTTTTAGCCTGAAATTTGCTTAACAAACATGCATCAGATACAGTAGCTCATTCTCCACTTTTTTGGTGTCTCTAAAACATCTTATCCCTTCTTCCTCTGTGTCTTTTTTTCTGCTCTAGGTGGTGGGTCAAATCGATAAATTAACATCCGACTTTGACTTCGACCTGGAGCCAGATGATTGGACGGTGGCCACAGCTAGCAGCACATCCAGCAGTGAGCGAGGTTTGGGAGAAGCCTTCAGGCTGGACTTTCTCAATGCAGATGTGCTCTCTGATAGCTGGGAGTTCTGCAGTTACCTAGAGGCTGCTGGTGCAGCTGCCCGCAGGTCTAGTGATCAACCAGGGGATCTACAACATGAGCTGGGCCAGGGAACTATCCAGACCCAGACACCAACTCCACCCCCAACCACTGCCTCGGTCTACTCTCAGATGAATGGCGGACTTCCTATTCCTAATGGACCACGCATTATTACTCCAGACTCCTCTAGCGAGGAGGCAAGCAGCTCCACACACAGCCAAAAGACCTCCCGTACGTCTGGCACACGGGAAAGAGTCCGTTTCAGTGACAAAATTCTCTACCATGCATTGTGCTGTGACGACGATGAAGAGGAGGAGCAGGAGAAGTTACAGGAGGACAAGAGCAGCTGCGCTACACCAGACAGTGATACAGAGCAAGGCGTTCTGGGTAGCTTATTCGCTCCTAAGCGTTCTTCTTCTGAGCACTCACTCCTGCATAACTGTCTGGACCCATCCTATGGCTCCTCGCCAGCAAAGGCGATGACAGGAGCTCACACGCTACCCAGGAAAGGTCTCCTAAACCCCAGCTGCCGCAAAAAACTGTTACGAAATAGCAGCACACAAACTGTCTCTGATAAGAGCACTCAAACTGTACTGCCCTATATTCCAACTAAACAGAAAGCAGAGGACCACTGAGGAAGCAAACAAATCTCACGAAAAGGAACTGTGCATTATTTAATATTAAATACATAGCTCATAGATTAATACACAAATAACGAATTACTAAATAAATAAATGATATATGAAAAATCACTTGACTACCCAAACTCATTCTGTGGCTCAGGGAAAACAAAAAGCAATCAAATAAAAAACATTTAAATAAATGTTGTTTGTCGACTAAAAAAATGTATCCATGCTCAGGATAAAAATACATTAAAAGGACCTATAATGGGGGAAAACATAATTTGGTTTATTGCTGAATATTTAAGTAAAGTCTATTAAAGACTGAAAAAATAGCAGAGTAGAGCAGAGTAGTTGGTGAACAGGTTTGGACATATCAAAGGGATTTTTGTCCACTCTTCTTACAATCAAAGGTTTTGAGGTTGTTGACTCAACATATCCACCTTTTTCCATTTCCCTATGGGATTAATTAAATCCAGTCATTGACTAGAACAATCCTGCATATTACTGTCTTTCTTAAAATGCCATTCTCCTGTTCCCTTCACCTTGGGTCATTATCATGCTAGAAGACATCTGATCTTCAGTTTTCTGAATGAGATGAAATTTTCATCATTTTAATTTCTACAGTACATGGTCCCAATTATCATTTACTCTGTGTGATACAGTCTGTCCATATCATTAGAAGAAAACAGACAGCAGTCCCCATGCCCTTCTATGTCTGTCAGTTGACCTTATCTTCTTGGGTTTATATTTAGTATTTCTTTGTCTCTAAATAGGGCAAGTGACATGTTACATGTTAAGGCCAATTTAAACTTCTGACGCATAGCCTCTGCAACCGTCATATCTGTCTCGCTGCGTGACCATGCCCGCCGCATTGAGGTTCTGCAACCGTCGTTGCACACTTTTAAAAAATCATGACTGCGTCGGAGGGTCGCAAACCCACACAGACCTCGATTGGTCCTTGGTATGCCTTTCCGGCTGTCTGTGTGGTCATCCTAGATTCGGTGCGGTGGCGCGCCATTTTTAAAAACCGAGGAGCAACAACAACAACAATGGAAAACCACGACGAAAGGTTGATCGAGGAGATTCGGAAGAACAAGCACTTGAATGATGCCTCACATGTTTTGGAAAATAAACACTCCCACCTGCGCCGCAGAACAAGTTCTCGTGACCATCAGCCGAAGCTCTCGCAAGTTCTCGAATAGGCTCCCTCTAGCGGGAAACTGCTCTGCGTCCCTAGAAATTCCAGACCGACATTGCAGAAGCATACCAGTAAAACGGGTAGAGGATGCAACAGGCCTGAAGGTGGTTGGTGAGAAGTTTTGTTTCTGGCGCAGATGGAACATGCCAACACGTACTCCTTTACGTCCTTGTGTAAGGATGGCCACCAGAAACGTCTAGAAATCAGGGCACTCGTTCGGCTCACTCCCGGGTGGGCGGAAAACTTAGCTGTATGCATTCACTGGATCAAACGGGATCTGACAGAAGAAGGGACATAGGTTTTATTTGGAGGACCGTTACCTGGGTCAGGTTCAGAGGCTAGCGCAGAGTTGATGAGATCTGTGATCTCCCAGGAAACCATTCCAACAGTACAGGAGGCAGGAAGAACAGGCTCGGGCGTCTCAGGTTGATCAGCAGAGTAAAGACGAGAGAGAGAATCGGGTTTGATGTTCTTGGAACCAGGTCTGTAAGAGATTATGAGATTGAAACGGGAGAAAAACAAAGACCATCTGGAGTGACGTGGGTTAGCTTGTTTGGCGGATTGGAGATAAGCCAGGTTCTTATGATCGGTCCAGACCAAAACTGGATGTTCGGCCCCTCGAGCCAGTGTCTCCACTCCTCCAAAGCGAGTTTGATGGCTAGGAGTTCTCGGTCCCCAACATCATAGTTTTGCTCTGCCGGTGAGAGTCTACGGGAAAAAAAGGCACAGGGGTGAATCTTTTGGTCTGAGTCGAATTGTTGGGACAAATCTGCACCAACGCCGGAGTCAGAGGCATCCACCTCGAGGATAAACTGCTTAGAAGGATCTGGCTGGAAACAGGGTTTTTAACTTCTCCAAAGCGTTTTGAGCTTCAGGTGTCCATTGAAAAGTCTTTTTTACTGAAGTCAGGGTTGTGAGAGGTAGAGCTGTTTGACTGTAGTTCCTTATGAAGCGTGTGTAGAAGTTCGCAAAACCAAGGAATCTCTGAAGCTGTTTTTGTTTTCAGGTGTCGGCCAGTCCAGAACTGCCCTTATCTTGTCTTCAGATGGCTTAACCTGCCCGCCCTCGAGCACAAACCCTAAAAAGGTGACAGATGGTTGGTGAAACTCACATTTTTCTGCCTTTACAAAGAGCTTATTTTCCAACAGTCTTTGAAGGACCAGGCAGACATGTTTCTTATGCTCTGATAGGTTCTCGGAGTAGATCAAAATGTCGTCTATGTACACAAACACGAAAATGTTCAAAAAGTCTCTGAGGACATCATTGATGAGCGCTTGAAAACATGCAGGAGCGTTTGTGAGACAAAAGGCATGACCAAATACTCAAACTGGCCTAAAGGGGTCTTAAAGGCTGTCTTCCATTCGTCTCCTTCTCTTATCCTAAGAAGGTGATAAGCATTTCTTAAATCGAGCTTGGTGAAGACTGTTGCCCCCTGAACAGGTTAAAATGCTGATGCTAGTAATGAAAGTGGGTATTTATTTTTGACGGTTATCTGGTTAAGGCCTCTGTAATCTATACAGGGTCGTAAGGAACCATCCTTTTTGCCCACAAATAAGAAACCAGCACCAAGAGAAAATGGACGGATTATCCCAGCAGCCAGAGACTCGTTAATATACTTTTCCATGGTCTCACGTTCAGGCTTAGAGATGTTATAAAGTCTACTGTTGGGCAGGGAAGCTCCTGGTAATACTTCAATAGCACAGTCATATGGTCTGTGAGGTGGAAGAGACGTAGCACTGACCTTACTGAAGACAGGAGCCAGATCATGATACTTGGAAGGAACAGAAGTAAGGTCAGGAGAGTCCATCTCCCCCCTACCTCTAGGAAACTGAACAGCGGGAGCTGCAGAACGAAGACATGTCTCATGACAGGGAGTGGACCAGGACTCAATGTGGCGTTCAGCCCAGTTGATATGGGGATTATGTCGTTCCAGCCACTCGAATCCAAGCACCAAGGGGGAACATGCAGAAGGAAAAACAAAAAAAGTTAATGTCTCACAATGATTTCCGGAGATCAACAGCTCAAGAGGTTGTGTTTGATGAGTGACTTGATGGAGTTTCTTTCCATCAATAGCGGATACTCAGAGGGGCTTGGATAACGGAACTGTTTCAATCTGTAATTGCTGGACCAGGTTAGAATCAATGAGATTACACTCACATCCAGAGTCAATGAAAGCAGACAAGGTGAGGTTCTGGTTGGAAAAAAAAGTGTAGCAGGTAACATCAGATGAGGAGCTTTTTCAGTTTTCAAATGGCCCGTCAGACTCCTCAGTTCCTCTGACGGGCCCTGGCTTTTGACTTAGAAGCTATGAAATGGCCAGTCTCACCACAGTATAGACACAGATTGCCCCTGAAACGTCGTTGTCTTTCCTCAGGAGTTAGCCTTGTGTGTCCAATCTGCATGGGTTCGGCCTCCGCTCCATCTGAGTGAGAGACTTGGAAAGGAACAGAATAAGTCTGGTTTTTAGACCTTGGCTTGGGAACGGGTTCTGTGGATCCAGAAAAAACAGAAGCATTATTCAATGCAGGGGCAGGCACAGAAACACTTAGACTTCTTTGTCTAGTGCTGTTTCTAGTTCGGAGTCTGTTATCCAATCTGATGGTTAAGCGGATTAAATCCTCTAAACTAGTTGGTTCGTCGATCGTGGCTAGTTCATCCTTGATGTTATCATTTAGGGCCTTAAAATAAGCACTTTTAAGTGCACATTCGTTCCACCCAGAGGCTGCGGCTTTGACCCGGAAGTCGATGGAAAACTCAGCCACTGTGGAATTTCCCTGTTTTAAATTCAGCAGAGCTCGGAAGTCAATAGTTTGATCAGAGTCATGGTTAAATACCTGGGAAAATTCTGAAATAAACTCAGAAAAAGTACAATTGAAACTGGACTCAGAGGAGAACCTTGCCTCCGCCCATTCAAGGGCTCAACCAGTGAGTTGGGACAGAATAAAAGATATCATCTTTCTATCATTCGGAAAACTGCCAGGAGAATGTTCAAAAAGTAGTCGACATTGGAACAAAAATCCCTTACAATCCTTCTGGTTACCTGAGAACTTTTCAGGGAGACTGGGACGGAACTCAGGAAATGACGTCACTACTGGTGACCTTGGAGGCGGAAGTGGATCCGGAACTGGACGTACCGCTGGCGTGGCGTTAGCATTATCCATGTAGCTGACAAATGTTTGAAGCATTTGATTCTGGTGTTCAATTTTTGTATGCAACTCATGGAGGGTATGCGCATGTCCAAGGATCTGAGCGTCTTGTTGCTCAAGCCTCCGACGGAGGTGATCTGCTGGGCTTTGTGTTTGGCCGCAGTGTTCTGTCATGATGGGTTTTAGGTTCTTTGCCCACATGCAGAACACAACGGAGGCTGGGTAAAAGTTTAACAGAATTTATTGAGCTATTCACAAAACACAAGATCATGAACTGGATCAGGAACTGGTCCGGGGTGGTTCACTGAAGTCTGCAGAGATGATAGTTTGATTAGGAAGCAGGCTGATGAGTTATGAGTCTTTGATAATTCAAGAGTATACCTTGATAGAGTCTGGGCTTCTCTTTGAGAGAGAGAGGGAACCGTTGGGTCCAGAGACTGTTTGTTCAGCAAAGTCCAAGAGCAGCTGCAGCGTCTTGCTTCTGACTTTAAAGGCAGACCTTGATCAGAGTTTCCAGCTCTTACTAGGAGCAGCAGGGGAATCCACATAGGAATCTTCAGGTTTTGCTCACTAGGGCAATCTCGGCAGGTTAAGCTCATCCAGAGCTTCAGGTCAGAGACAGGTTTCCTGTGAGGCAAAAACAAGGGAGAGTTAGAATCAGATCTCTCTCAAGAGACAGCTAAGATTCTTCAGGTTCAAGGCTCAGGTCGCTAACCAAACTAGGTCAACACTGCGGCGTCGGAGCAAGGTCTGGCAGCTGGTTATAAAGGGCAGGTCTCTTGATG